GCCATATCTGGAGTCCGGGGCTGATTCATTCGCTGCACTCCACACATAAAAACAAATACAACTACAACTACAGCAGAGCTGCTAAATTGCTGAGCTATCCGCGTGGCATGTTCAACAATTTCTTCTAATTAGAAGATATTTTGCGCTTATTAGAATATGTTGCGACACGGAGAATTCGGTTAAAGCGCATTAGGTGCAGACAGCATCAGCGGGCCACCATGCAACCGGCATGAGAACCAAAGCTTGAGAGTTTTTCGACTGAAAATATATTCTTCTAGCATTTCACATTTAGTTACTTGAGGTTTATATAAGAATAATTTACGTAATTCAATTATTAGACTCATAGCACGAATTAAAAATGTGTACAGATTCATTTGTTTATTCATATTTACTAAATTATATATAAGAATTAATCTTATTATGTACGTAACTATGTATTTAATTTTTTTTTTTTTTTATTTGTCTTAAAATTAATATTAAAGAAATTTTTAATAATCGCAAATATATGGAATTGATTTTTTTTTTCTTGTAATATTTTTTAATATGCAAAAAGTAAAGATTAATGAATTACAAAAATATGCAATTAATATTAAATATTCAATAAAAAAAAACAACGTACATTTTACTTGCATTTTTTGCTGATTAATTTTTAAGCGTTAATATTTACTGAACAAAAATCAATTAAAAATTTTTCAAAACAAATATTATTTTAATATTTAAAAATATGTTATTGTTGTGTAAGAAGCCTAAATAAAAAGCTAAGATCAAAAATTTTATCTGATAATTAAAATAATTTGTATAAATTTGTATCTAACTATCGAAGCTTAAACATAAGAGGTATATGTAATCACAAATAAATGWTATGAAATGAAATGAACAAGTATAATAAGTGAAAGAACTAACCTGTTCCAACAGCACTTCTAATATATTACACTCTGTCAGTTATCAGTCAAGCTGGGCGGGAGGCTAAAAGCAGGTGGCAATAAATATAGTTCTACTGCATTGCGATTTCATAAACAATTTTAATCTAATCTGTTGCACATGAAAATAAACCAGCAAGAAATATGATCAGCGACTTGATTAAAGCACTTTAAATCAATCAAAATGTATTGATAGGCTGCGCTGATGGATTTACAAGCGAAACAATAGAGGTCTTATAATATCAGCCGAACGATCGTAAATCCGAATTATGATTGGCAGCATTGACTAAGAGGCCCGTTACACGTGACTCAACTAATCCTTATCGCTATCATACCGTATGAGTGCCACGAACTGTAAGCAATACGATTTAACTATTTAACAACGATAAGCACAGGGATTTATACTTTTGCTCACTCTTATCACTCAACTGGCTGTTCTCTTGACTTCATATTGGATTCGCTCATATATTAGACATATCAGATCAAATATTTAATGAATGTTTTTGTTCTTGCGTGGCTCTTGGCCTGATCATAATTTATTCCTGAGATGATTTGCATGACAATTCCAATGAAAGATTCAAACTGACAGCCATAAATATTCAACTCAAAGCTCAAACCTTTTGTTTTTACTTAGTTTTTTTTTTTTTTTTTGTGAAAAACTTTTAAATATTCATGCGCGATATTTGTCGAAGCGACAGATCTGCAGCGGCTACGATCGATTGTCTGCTGAGTTGTAGGCGCTGATCTTGGCCCAGGTCCTTTGTATTTTTTTCCATATATATATTTTTTTCTGTTTGGCAGGCCTCAATGCCATTCGATTGTTCAGCCAGGCAAATGCCGAAAAAAACAATGGGTCATTTAGCCAGCGTCTGTGGCCTGGCCAGATTGTGTTCGGGTTCCCCAATCCCTGGCACCGAGTAACTTACCGAAAACGTTACCGATCCTGACAGCCAACAAGTATGGCATGACTCGTTCGCCAAGGCTCTTGTCCTTGTCCCTCGCAACATTGCCCGGGTCCTCTGAGTGATTTATTAAGTTTGTGTCAATTCTTGAAATTATTGGCCCCAAACGACTGCTCAGCCAAAGCTGAGCCCCATTTTGCATTGCATCGTGCTGACGGCTTCTGCGCATATCTTAACACATTTCGGTATTCCCTTGAAAGCTCATTTCATAGAAGAAGGAATCCCTCGATCGAATCTCAGGAAATGCCACAAGCCAAATACCAGATATCAGATATCAGGTATACCCTATTAATTTGCATGAGATTTGCATTTCAGACTCAGACTCGCTCTTATTGAGTGAGCAGCTCAGATGTCTTTAAGTTGACTTGAGCACAATGCAGTATCATATACCGATATATCTCTAAACTTTCAATTGCCTTAGCGCTAAATATTTCATTGGCCAACCTTGTGTTGCTTTTTGGTATAAATGGCAAAACAGATTGCCAAAAGAAGAAACATCGAGCCATCAAGATGCGATGACTTCTGTTGAGATCGCAGCAACTTAATCTGTTGGCTGAATGGAGTGCAAATGCCAAGACTCATTCGTAGCTGGGTTCCATTCAGCAAAGTGGGTAGCACATACAGCAAATGGCTGAGGCGCTTGAAGGAGCCATAATTTAAATTTTCATGCGCTTCGGCTGTCAATTGTGCGCAGCCAACGACTCAGTTTAATGGCAGCAGCCCGTGAGGCGCAGCTCCAGCTACAACAAAAAATTTAAATACAAACAACTAGGAGCAGCAGCAGCAGCAGCAACAACAACAAAAAGTACAGAGCGAACCACAGCGCAAACCACAGCGCGAACCACTGCAGCCCAACGTAACTGGCGCTAAATCAAACGATGGCCACGAAATTGCCATAATGACGACACAGCGATGACGATCATCGTAATGATGCTCCCGCTGTTGCCCATTATGATGCTCGCGACGATGATTACGTTCTCGGCGCATCGGCAGCCGAAATAATCAGCGCAGCATTATTGAAGAGTCGAGCAATGCCGAAGAGCACTTGTTGAAATCTCAGCGCTACTTGCAGCCCAACCGAAACTAAGGAAGAAGAGCGCGTTTTTATTTCCCTGTGGGAGAGTCGGCTACTGAATACTCTACAGAGAGGAAATACATCGAATTCGGCAGTTCTATATGCTTAAGTTCAGTATAAAAAGAAGTTAGATCCTTGCATAGCCGAAAAGTAAATATACGGTATGTGTGGGTCATTCATAATATATAGAGAAAGATGATTTAATTTAATTTAAATATGATTTACTTATTTTATAATTATTTTGTGTGCACTTAATT